GACAGAGCAGGTTTGTGGGAAGGCCACCATTCAGCCCAAGGGTGAAGAGAAGGACCATCTGGACACCCAGCCATGGTGGCCCAGGATAGGGGAAACTGCAGGGTGCCGGGGCACTGACAGGCCATCAGTGCAATGCTAGTTTCTGCTCCCTTAACCCCTGCCCTAGCCGCTCCTGCTGGCTGGTGTGCCCACCAAGCCAGGGGTGTTGCCAGCATGCCCTGGGAGGAGCTCAGGGACATGTAGTCTGACTTGTGATGACTCGTTCTTATAGATAGGCTCGCTCACTGGATCGAGCAGAACGTGGGCTTTGGAGGCTGAACAATGTAGGTTTTATTCCTGGCTGTGCCGCTCACAAGCTGAAACTTGGAGAAAAGACTTCCATCTGTTTGGACCTCAGCTTCCTAGTCTGTAAAATAGGAGCTTATCATGCCTACCGTGCAGACTCTCCATCTCTTCACCTTCCCATCCCATAAAGTGCCCCAGTCTCTGTAGGGACCCCCGTGGGTGCTCTTTCCATAGCCACCATCTGAGATTGGGCGCTGGATTGTCTGGAGCTTGGACTCTGGAGCCAGCCCCTAGCTGCATGTCTTCTGTGGCTGTTCCATGGCTCAGTTCCTCCAGCTGTCATGTGGGGTCCTAACAGCCTCTCCCCCTGTGTCCTCCTGTGTAGACATGGTGTTCCAGCTGCTCTGCACTCTGCCTGCCCCTGGTTTTTGCTCAGCCTGCATTCTGCCTGTAGTGCTCTCCCCAACTACCTTGTCCACCAGCTTCCTTTTGCTTCTCGAAATCTTGGTGCAAACACCCCTCACAAAAATTCTGTCTCCACCCTGATCCTGGTCCTGTGAGCCCCAGAGATCCCTGTAGGCTTTGCATTTCTTTTCCTGGTCTTCCCTTTGAATCTGAATATGTGCCTTTGTTTCAGTAGGGATATAGTACTCATGGGTTCAATGAAACAGTGGTCCTCCTACAACTTAATTTATTTCTTCTAAACAAGTGGCCCTTATGACAGTTCTTTATGATTGAATATCTCTTAATAGTAGAGAAGCCCAATATCCAAACTCCCCCTCAGAGCTGCTCTGAGAAGGCAATATCTTGTTAGCCCGTTGTACAGATGGAGCAAATGAATATTGGAGACATTTCCATATCTTGCTCAAGGTTTACATGACAAACAGGTAAGGGTCCAAGACTTGATTCTATCCCAAATTTTCCTGCTTCCAGACCTCCTTTGCTTCTCCCTTGGCTCAGATGTGGACACAGTGAACATCCCAGGTAACTAAAAGCTCTTGCCCTCGACACTTGTTGAGAAGCCTGAGGCCCACTGGCCTCTTTTGACTCAGCATGGAGTAGCCCCTTATCTCCAGGGCTGCTGAGTGAATTTGAGTGCAAAAATAGTACCCCAGAAAATAGGCGGTGGCCCTGGGGTACCAGCCCTAGGGGGCAGTACAATTTAACGGTTTGCAGACACACAGCCCAGGCTCTCTCTCCTCCTCCCTGTGCCATTTGCCTCATCTGGACTGAATGGCGTAATGTTTGTAAGTCTTACAGCACAGGGCCTGGGGCCCGGGATGCCCGGTAACCAGGAGTTAGCATTAACAGTCAACATTTATGGAGGATTTACTTTGGACCAGGCACCCGATGGAGTTATTTCCATGTTTATCTCATTTATTCCTGTCCACAATCCCTTGCCATAAAATTCTTCTTCTTTTTTTTTTTTTTTTTTTTTTTACAGATGAGACAAAGGAGGCTTAATATGTCACATAGTTGCCAAATGTCACAGATATTTTCAGTCACGCCACAAGGGGTGAGGCCGTGTTTGCTTATTCATGGACCTCCAGCTTGGTACACCTGGTAGTGTCCCACACTTGGCAGAGTCAATAGACAGAAACTGGTAATATTACTGTGGTGCAGCCACCAAATCAGGGTGGCAGCTCCTACATGCTTCGCCTACCAGTGCGGGTTGGAGGTCTGAGGTCGGGGAAGTGTTGCTAGGAGTGTGATATAGACGACGGTGGAGGCCTGCACTGGGTTGTGGCCCGGCAAGACCATGGAGCTGGGGAAGAGAAGAAATCACCTTTCATCCCTGAGCACCTGGGCTGGAGGCAGAGCCCTGGGCCACTTGTGCCTACGGTGGTCCCCATGACGCCCTGATGGATGGGATCTGACAGAGTGGGCTCGTTCTCTCCCAGTACATGGAATCCAGCCAGCTGGGAACCGAGTCCAGGTGAGCTGCTGGCCTTAGGCAATGACAGACACTTTGTGCAAGCAATGCCTCCTCCCTGGGGCTCTACCTCCCTGGGCAGCCCTCTGAAATAAATGACAGCATGATGCTCAGAGCCACTGAGGCCTACAGAAGCTGTCTGCCCAGAGCGGCCCTAAATGTGGCTTCCAGAGCCAGCCTGCCCCAATTCCACGCTCACATTAGCTCAGGAGGGGTAAGGGGAGGACTGAGAAATGGTGGCTGTTGGTGGTCCAGATACAACACTGCACTGAAGGAGGGCTGTTCTGGGATTGGGTCCATTTCCTCAGCCTTCCCACCATCATGCAATGACACACTTCTTCCTCCATCTTACAGAGGCTAAAGCTGGAAGAAACTCAGGATTTTAGTATAGCACACTCACCAGTTGCCAAGAGATAACCTTTGTGTGAATTTGAAGTAGTACTTTCTCTGGGTGGACACATTTCATGGGCTTGGACAGGAGAAGATGTCTTTGGGACATGTGAACAGGATACCCTCTCTTAGGGGATGCAATCCTGTGGCGAGAGCAGAGTGTGTGGGACTTCAGTCCTTTCTCTTCCCCTTGACCAGGTGCTCTTACAGTGTGCAACCTCCACAACCACACACAGCCACTCTGTTAAACCAAAGCCCAGAGAGAAGTCCAAATCCTCCACATGGTCTACAAGGGATATGATTGCCCCCAGCTTTGAGTAATCCTCAGTCTCTCCTCCTACCTTTTTTGTGGCCACACTGGGTTCCTTTTGGATTTTCTTGCTGCTTCTAGATCTTTTCATTGGCATCTCTCTCTCCCTGGAACATTCTTTCTATTCTGACTGGGCAAACTGCCACTCATCCTGTTGGTCTCAGTATAAATGCAGCCTTCTCAGTGCAGCCTTCTCTGGCTTCTCAGAGCAGGTCAGAACCCGCTGTAGGGTCTCATGACAAAGGTATCTTTCTATGCAGTTGTCATGAGTTATTTGGGTACTCACCTCGCTCCCTCCATCCATGGACTGTGTAAGCTCTGTGGGTACTGGGCCTCTTGTGTTTACCACTGTGCCTCTAGTGTGTGAAGCAGTGACGGGCATGTGGTAGACACTCAGTAAATATCTGTTGCATAACTGAAAGGCTTTTCTTTGATGGCTTCCTGGTCCTATAGGAAGCTTAGGGCAATTTGGAAATAGGAGGTTTGAAAGAGCCACTTTCCCCATGGTGAAAATTCTCCTGTGGGCACCTTGCATCTGATGTGGCTCTTTTATCCACTCTTTACTCCCCCAAAGGGGCCACAGGTCACGTTCTCAGCTCCAACTTGCACTGTCTCCATCTTTCCCATGATCCCTTGCACTGGCCCACTCAATAGTGTCCTGCAAAATGGGTGCTACCTCAACTTTTATATTTAAGTGGCAATTGATCTTGTTCCCAGCAGATTTATTTTCAGCCCTGGGCTTGTGGACCAGTGTTAATTTACATGCTAAACTCTGCCCTCTGGAGAGCTGCATGTCTTAGGTGATGTCCTGAAACAAGGGACTTATCTCCCTGATCCCTTCTCATCTCCCCTCGGGAATCAATGGGGCTTGCCTATGCCAAATGCAAGGATCAGACCTGGGATTCCAGGTACCTTCCCAGTGACTGAGACCTGTCTGAGGAACACATCCCATTCTTACCCTTTCTTCTAAATTCATCAAAGCTTCATCTTGTATTGTTATTGTTATTATTATTTGTAATTTATTCTTCCAAATAACATTTATTGAGCACATACTTGGTAAGTGCATTATGCTAGCAACTGGAATTAAGGATGGGGTGAGGACTGGGGTGCCAAAGTAAGTTCATCTTTCTTTTCCTCAAAGTTGCAATTCAGAGAAAAGAAAGGGATTTTCTACTACTGATCAACATGCTAAGTGTCAAGTAGGATTTTCAGGGAGACAGGGGATAGTTAATTTACCTAAAGACTTGCTAAACATTTATGGCTACACCATTGTTGTAGCCATCCACACACTAAAGTGTTCAAGCAGGAGTGAAGGACTAATTGACAGGATAAAAATTATATTTATTGATCAGTTACTATGTGCCAGACACCATTCCAAGCATTTTACAACTATTAACTCATGAATCCTCCTACCTCTATGGAGTTGATGCTATTCTAGAGCCTAAAACCATACCCAGAAGGGCGTGATGTTTGCACTATGTCTCTGCAAGTCGATGGGAAGGGACAGAAGGAACTGCACATGCAACGGTGTGGAGGCTGGCAGGTAGAGGATGAACCTATTCAATTTGGGCCTATTCAATTTGGCTGGAGCAGAGAGCTCACAAGAGAAAGAGGCAGAAAATGAGGTGGGAAAGAAAATCATCTCTGCCAGCCTGAAACACTTATGATTGTCTCTGATTCTTTCTGTACCGTCTACCACTCTAAATAGACTGCAAGGGCCTAGAGGTGACAGTCCATGTTTCTGCTGCGGCCTTGCCACTGACCTAGAGTCATGTGGACAGCAACCAAAAGAAGAGTCCAGGTCTGCCCAGACCAGTAGGCAGGGCCACCTACAACCAGAATGGATCTTCCCAACTTGAAGTGTGAAAGAAAGCATCTTGCACCTCCATCTAGTTACAGAGTAAGGAGTGGCCTCCCTCCTGTTTAATTTGCTCTGTGCCTTTATTGCCAGCAGAAGACAGATGACTCACGGAGGGTATTCCATACAGGCTCCCAGTGATTGTCTTTATGACTTCACGAGCCTTTTATGGTCCCCACTGGGAAAGGTGTTTTATTTTTCTTCTTTTCATTCTCCATTTTCAGTCGGTAAATAACCAACTTTCTGAGAGCCGAAGTTCATGCAATCCCAAGATAGGCCGTGACCATCAGAACAGAGGCAGAGTCAAAGTCAAGGGGAACAGAAGGAACCAGGACAAGGTGAGTCACCCAAGAGTCCATGAAGTGGGTAATCCCCAGCAGTGATTAATGTACACATCATCGAAGTTTAAAAATGAATAAATGTTTCTTTTCAGCAGATTTACTTTCTCAATGATGCTTGGCTTAGATTAATGATAATGTGAGTTTATGTTTCCAAAGTACACACAGACTGATCCACCTGGGGGGTTTGGGGGGGAGAGTAGTGGATGGGGGTTATGTGTGGGAGCCCAAAAAATTGTTACATGGGAGGATGGCCACCAATACATCATATTTAACTCATATCTGGTTTCTATACATATGAGAGGTATAACGGATACTCGTTTAAATAGACGAAGACCATATTGCATTTCAGTAGGGCTCTGGAGCTGTCTAGTACCAGCTTGCAAAAACCAATTGTTAAATTTTCAGGAATTTTGTGAGCTGTTTTACATCATGTCAGCAGCCTGAAATCAGCCACAGTGGGATTTTTTGCATTGCGGTAATGTGCAAAACCTACAAAGCTGAGCTTCATTCCCCCTCCTGACTGGTTGCCAAACATTTATGGCCATACTATTGTTGCAGCCATCCACACACTGAAGTGTTCAAGCAGGAGTGAAGGACCACTTGGCAGGAGGTAATGATATTTACTGATCACTTACTATGTGCCAGGTACCTTTCCAAGCACTTTTTATCTGCGTACTTAAGAATCCTCCCAACTGTACCGGGTAGATGCTGGTCTGGAACCTAAAGCCACACCCAGAAGGTGGAGACCTATAGCCAGAAGGGATTATTAGACTTTATCCCCATTCCCTTGTTTACAAATGAGAGAACTAGAGCCAGAGGGAGGATGTGGCTTGGTCAAGGCCAGTGACCTGGGGTCAGCACTGGTGACGGGTCACCTGACTCCTGGCCTGTATCTGTCTATCTTTTGCTCTTGTTCCTCTATTATTCTGTGCCATAACCCTGTCTAGACCCAGGCAAGAGCTGAATTCAAAGGCCTGGGGCTGACCAAAAGAGGCAGCCCCCCATCGGGAGCCCATGGACCGAGTCCGGGGGTCTGTTTGTGTTGTTCCGGTGCCTCTGTCTGCATGATTGGGGTTTGACTGCTCCCTGGTGCCCAAGCTCCAGCCAGAGAGCTGCCTTTCCTTCCACTCTGCCATCATCTGAGGATCCCACTGGAAGCAATTCAGACTTCACTGTTTCAGCAACCACCATCTGGAATAACAAGAAAAAATAAATAAAAATAAAACCCAAACTGGAGCTCTGCCGGTCAGCTCGGAGTCCTTGGTTAAGGGAGGAGGGGGAAACGCAGGTGGGCTGAAACTCTCTGGTAGCCAAATGATTAGCTTGGAGTATTCGTTGTTAACTGCGTGGGGGTTCAAGGTGAAACCAGTGTGGACCAGGGTTAGGAAAACAGCTCTCCCTGGGAGCTGAGACTCTGCAACTTTCTTTGATGATTGCTTTTGGTGTGAAAAAAAAGGTGGCCTGAGTCAAGAAAAAGAGACTCGAGATGAAAATCCCCTCAATTCTTAAATATATAGGTATATTCTAATGTCGAGCGCATTCTAATATGGTAAACATTTCAGTGTAGACTATAGGATCAGGCAGTCCCAGGGCTGAGAGGGCCTCCAACAGCTTTCCCAACCTCCAGGCATCAGTGGGTGCTGCTACCAGGCAGGGCGCAGTAGAGGAAAGCCATGGGTTGTAGAGCGAGTGTGTCTCTGCCACCTGGCACAGATACACAAACCTCCCGAGGCTCTGCTTCTTAATAGGCTAAGTAGGCGGTTCAGGCTATAGGGTCCTTTCCAGCTCTAACATTCTAGATCCTAAATAAAAGGGAACATTTCAAAGCTGGAATTACACACACACACACACACACACACACACACAGACAGACAAACAGGGAAAGCTTTCAAAAATCTCATTCAAATTATGGCTAGATTTGTCTATTAGTGAGATTTGTTTCTTTGCATGTGCTAATTGGTCTTGGCATTAATTAATCTGATTTCATTATATTCTCTTTAATTTGTCAAGATATCATTTTGTTATTGGGTGACGGAACACTTTGGAGGATTGTTAGAATTGGAATATATATTTTCCCCCCTTTTAAAGTTCCTAGAGAAAAGTCATTATCAATTAAGTTAATTTGCATACACATTAGGTTAATCGTTTTAGTTTAGCCAAATTTGTGGAAATTTACATAGCAAATTGACCCTCCACATTTCACTTAAACATATGTAGCACACCGAGTAGTGCATTTTGAGTTGCTAATGAAACTGAGGTTATTTTACACGCTTCTTTTAGTAAAAGAGGTCTAATTAGACCAAGTAATTTTTTATTTCATCCGTAATTGCAAAACAAATAAGCTTCTTGGCATTTTTTTTCCCCTAGCAGCAGCATCTCACGGACAGGGACGTTAATAGGGAAGTCATGTTTTCCTAATTAAGCCTGGTTTGATTCTTGCTCACTGTTCCGACGTCAGCCCTCTCTGCTTTCTCCTAGGTGCTCTGCTGCCAGAGTCGCTAAGCCTCCTGGTATACCTATTAATAGAAAACTCCCCCACATGGAGCCAACAGAATTAAAAAATGTAACTAGGAAGGCAGGGTGGGAATTTTGACAGATTTGTTTTTAAAAAAATTTTTTTTTTATGCCAGAGTGGAGAAAGTTGAATTCAAAAGGGGGTCTTGCTTTTTTCCATCAAGGGAAGAAAAGAGAGAAAAATAGCTTTTGTTCTCCCCCAGAAAAGAAGTTGGCATAACACATTGGTGGTGTTTCAAAAGTGACTCCAGGGGCTATCTTATTCAGTGTTGGAAAATTGGCTGCTGTCTTCCCATCTCGGATGGTGGATCTGTACAGAGCTCATGGTCATGCCAGGGAATTGCAGTGAGATCTGGGATCTGAGCCTTTGTTGCGGGGGAGACAGGGGAACTTGCCCAGACCTCTGTCTTGGAGGAAGTGGGAGTTGATAGTCGGGGTGTGTTGGGGAGACACTGGGGTAGCCCTAGGGATGCTGTGCTTCTATTGTTTCCCTCCTAGCTACACCAAGAAGACCTTGATCACGGTCTACTCTGCTTCATTTCTTGATTTTATCAGCTTGTTGAGCCTGGAATGGAAGTAGGTAAAGGAGATGTAGAAGGGATCAGAAAGCCGTGTCATGCCTTTTGCATAAAGCCAGGAGACTTGAGTTCCAGTCCTGCCTCACAACTTCAAAAAGTGGCCACAATCCTGCTCATCTCCCTGTGTCCCAGAATTTTGCAATGTGACTTTACAGCTATCCTCATCAAGAGGTGGGGTCTATTTCCATCCTCTTTGAATCTGGACTCTCCTTTGATTTGCTTGGGCCAATTGAATGCCACAGAAGCGATGATGTGCTAGTTCCCAGACTGGTCCTCAAAGGACCTAACTACTTCTGTTCACTCTCGCAGAACCCTGCTGGATGAGATGGTGAGAGGCATGTGGCCCAGTGGTCCCCATGGTCCAATTGACAGTCAGTCAATCCCCAGAAGTAGTGCCATCTTGTTGACCTGCATGTGGCCACAGATTACATGAGGGATCCCAGATGAGCCCAGTTTAAATTTCCAATCCACAAACTGTGAGCTAAAGAAATGGTTGTTGCCTTTAGTCACTAAGTTTTTGAATGATTTGCTTAGCACTCATAACTGATTCTGTCATTAACCAGTGTGTGTCCTTGGGAAAATTCTTCTTTATACCTGAACTTTAGACTCCTCATCTGTAAAAGCAGTTGGGATTAGAGGATCTGAGTTTTCTCCCAACGTCATAGATTTTCCAGTTACCATCTTGCTTGTCTAAGACAGCCTGACATTTTACTGTTAAGAACTCCAGGTAGGGCATTCTACTCTGTTACTGGGCCCTAGAACCCCAGGGAGATGAACTTATCAGTTCCTCACTAGGTGAGAAGAGGACATAACACGTGTAAGGAGAGAAGAGAGCATCTCTGTCTTGGGACAAAGAACAGAAGGAGGAAGCAATGTTGGCCATGGAATAAGATATGAAGAGGTGGTACAGGGTGTGTGTGTATGTGTGTGAACTTTTTGAAGATGAAGTTGCTGAGCTTCAGTGGAAAGGTGTACTTTGAAAAAATATGAGCCTGTTAACATCACCTATGGAGCAGTTTATGGCCCTGGAACCTCATTAGGGTAGGGTACCCAAGTGCCAGGCATGGTCTACACAGTGACTAGGGAGGCTGAGGCAGGAGGATTACAATTGAGAGCCAGCCTCAGCAACTTAGTGAGGCTCTAAGCAACTTAGCAACACCATCTCAAAACTAAAACAAATAGTAAAAATATTCTGGGGATGTAGCTCAGTGTTTAAGCACCTCTGGGTTCAATCCCCAATCCCCCCCCCAAAAAAAGATAGGGCACCCAGCCTGTGGGCTGCAGTTCCAGCCATAAGTCCTCAGGGGCCAGGGCCACTGGGAATGCAGGTTGCTATAGGAAGTGCCCAGCAGCCTGTAGTCTGAGTTATGTGCAATTCCTGGGGTGAGCTCTTAACCCCTTTATTTGCCTTTTAAGAACATACCAAGGCCATCCATTGACAAATGGATAAAGAAAGCCTGGTCTCTCCATATAATGTGATATTATTTGGCCTTAAAAAGCAGTGAAGTACTGATCCATGCTACAGTATGGATGAACCTTGACAACATTAAGCTAAGTGAAAGAAGCCAGTCACAAAAGGCCACACGCTATCTGATCCCATTCATATGAAAGTCCAGAAAAGGAAACTACAGAGATGGAAAGTACAGTGATTGCTTAGACCCAGAGAGGGGCAATGAAGGGATAGGGGAGTCCTAACTAAGGGATATGGGGTTTTAGGGATGAGGAAAATGCTCTCAGATTTATTTGCTGTTATGGTTACATAACTCTGTGAATACATTACATTAAAAATCATCGAATTATACATTTTAAGTAGGTTAATTGTGTGATATGTAAATGATATCTCCATAGACCTGTTTTAAAAGTACACTTAGGAGCACAGTGATTAAGAATGAATGGTACAGTGCTCGGTTCACATAACCAGAGCTTAATAACTGTGAAATGAATGAATGGACAGTGAGTAAATGAATGAATGCTAGTCTATGGTTCAAAGAATTCAGTCTGGTATGATCAAGTAAGTTTTTTTTTTGTAAACTTTGAGCTTTTATTATTTGGAAAGTATTATACCTGTAGGTTCGATCCAACTCCTTTGGGTTGAATTTCTTCTAGAAACATCCACATTGTATGAAATTCCTATTGCAGGGCTCACTTACTGGACTGGACCCCTGGATGTCAGGGAAGGCTCAAGACAGGTCTCAACATTCCCTGGTCTCTTGGAGGTGTGAGGGCAAAGCTGACCTGGACTCTCCTCCGTCCTTGTCTCACCTACACGTGGGCGCTCCTCCTTTCCCAGCAGCTCTGGCTCCTGTGGTCTCAGCATTCCTGTGTTTAAGAAAAAATTCAGCAGTTTCTCTTATTTTCTGATGCTCGAGTGAGCACAGCCCCTGGGGTCAAAAATTTGAGCTGGGGCTGGGGCACTGCCCTTGACCTCAGGAGTCCAGGAATGTCTTGGTGGAGAGACTGGCACAGAACCCTGGGCCAGGCAGGAGTCCTGGGTGTCTGGGGCAGGGAAACCTATTCT